AAAAAAAAAGGAAAAGAAAAAGAAAGAAAGAAAGAAAGAAAGAAAAAGGCATATACCTAAAGCAGCGTCGATCTCATCCATCACATAGAGTGGAGTTGGTTTGTAGTGGTGTAAGGCAAAAACGAGGGCCAGTGAGCTGAGTGTCTGATACAGAGTGCTTTTCGGGGTTAGTTATGTAATTTGCATGTTAGATTAACGATTAAGTCTGGTATACTAATACAATTACCTTTTCACCGCCAGACAAGTTAGCAATATTTTTCCAGCTTTTTTTGGGGGGTCGAACACTGAAAACGACTCCCTCGGAAAAAGGATCCAGCGAGTCCACTAGCTCGAGCTCTGCATCACCTCCCAGCGTAATCATCTGCAAGAAGATCATAAAAGAAGAATATGGCAAAAGGAAGATTTCACACGAAAAATAAAAATCTAGACATTTTGATGTGCATGTAGATTGTTAGAAACCAAATTGCTGTCTTGCCTGGTACATTTCTTTCAGTTTCAACGAGATTGTGTTGAAACCTGCCATGAATTCATCTAACCTGAAAATATTGGCAGGAAGAAGAAATAGTTAGCAGATTTGAGGAGAAAAAGGCTATGTTGTTGTTGTTTGTTGTAAAGATTCACCTCTTCTTTCTCCAGTCATCATATTGCTTTTTGATGTCATCCCGCTCATTGGTTACTGAATTAAGATCACCAACTCGCTCATTGTACAAACTCACTTTTTTCCGATACCTGATGAAGGGATTCTCATTAAATTATCTCAAAGTAAAATTAAAAATTATCATTAAATCAGAATAAACAGAGAAAGACATCATACTCTGCAATTGATTCAAGGTTCGGGTTCATTTCTTTCAGTTGGGCCTCAAGAAGTGCCACCTTCTCAAGAGACCTCTTAAGGTCACTGATTTCATCACGAGTTACATCTGTCAACACTGTTTGAAGCTTCTCAGGATCCACCATATCCTTCTGAATTCTGTTACAGAAAATGTCATGTTGCATGTCACCTTCGATATTATGGGAATAAGTCAGAGGAAATGTATTTAGTTTAACAACAGGAAAGGGGCTGGGAAGTAATGATTGATGAAAGTCATGTCTTTCCAACTTTTTGTCATAGTTTCAACTAAAGAAATTTCCTCAATTTTGTAATAGTGTAGCCAAAAGGGGAACTATAGTGCATAGATTGAATTATATGGTCGATGATGCTAATAAAAACAAACTGCTCTTGGGTAAAGAATGCATCAATTCATGATGCAAGACAAAATGCTTACTGCTCCATGTGCTTTAAAATTGCAACTTCAAGATCACCAAGCTTCTTCGTGTAACCTTTCCCCTTCATTTCCAGCTCTTTACATGCTTTCTTCTTATCTTGTAACTTGTACTCAGCATCCACCTACAGAATTTGTTAAATTGACTCAGGATAGACAAATTACCATACAAAGAAAGACAAGACCTTATTTAGTGAATCATACCTCAGATGTCCGCAGCTCATCCACAATTTTCTTCAGTTTTTCATAGTCAGATTTTGCTTGGTGCAGGACATCTTTGTGTTGATCTATCAGCTACAAATAGGAATACATTACTACTCGTGCATTTGCATCATGGGAATCAATCACATTACAAGTACCTCTGAACAACGCAAATATAAAAATTGTGTACTAACCTCCTGTGTTTTCTTATAATTCTCCTGAACAGTAAAAGCTTTCAGTTCGATTTCTTTAAAGGCGGACTGTAACTTTTCCCTTTCCAGTGTAAGCCTTTCTTTCTCATTTCTGGACTCTTCAATCCCTTTTGTCAGTTTCTTTATCATTTTCTGACCTGTTTCTATTTGAACTTTGCGGCGGTTAATCTCAGTGCTATTTTTGTCAATGTCCTGCAAATGAATTAATTGGAAAGTACAATAGTCACTCACAAATGTTCAAGGCCTATCAATTTCTCTCACAGAATACATTGCTAGTACATACCGACTGAATTTTGCTAACTTTAGACTTCTGGTTTTTCAGTTTTTCTCCACCAGCATTTTCTATTTTGTTCTGTAGCTCCAAAGCCTATACAGCATAACATCAATATTAATGATACTTTCTCCACAATTGTGCCTCATACTGTCAACAACTCGTCTGATAACATAAGAAAGAACGAATATATGTTTCCAAAAATCATTCAAAGACTTCAGATGACTTCTGCGAAGCAAATAAAGTTTCCAACTAAAGAGAAAGTAGTAACAATAATGAGAACACACAGAATAACTAGAAAAGGGTAAAGGTCAAGATATAGCAACCTTCTCTTTGAGTTGTTTCGAGCCTTGTGTAAGCCTGTCAATCTCTTCCTCTTCAGCAGAAATGATGTTTGCAAGCTTCTTCAGTTGATCCAATTCTGCCTTTGGAGGCTTTGATGCAGCCTTGAGGGAATCTAGCTGCTTCTCTATATCACCTAGTAACAACTTCAGACTGTCTATCTGCCAAGGTTTAATATAGTGTTGGATATCAGAGACAAGATCATTATATATGACCGAAATACACAATCTTAAATAATGGGCTAACCTACCTCCTTTCGGCTTTTGGCCAACTCCATCTCCAGAGGTGCAATGGCTTTTTCTGAATCCTTGTAATTCTTAACTGCATCAGCTAATTTGCTACGTACAGTGTTTAGGCTCTCAACCAAATCGGACAACTCTTTTTCAGCATTTGCAACAGCTTCACTAGAGACACTGGCACGAATGGACGTCCCTATTTTGCCCCCACGTGGCTTACTTCCACCACCAGATATGGTGCCAGATTTTTCATACAGAGCACCATTAAGTGTCACAACACGCCAAAATTCCTTCTTTCCCCCATAAGCAACCCGAGATGCCTAAAACAAAATTATCATATAGAACATAAATAATGTTACTAAATAAAAAGTTCCGCTACTTTTTGAAAACAAACTGGGCGAAGTTAACTTGCAAAGATATTCTCTGGGGGTTAAGCGCATTTTGGTTTTCCTGTAATTTTGTAAACTTTACTTCCAATGAATAGAGAAATAGATAGCAAAGATAATACGAAGTTCAATTGCAATTTACATGGTGAAACCTTAAGACAGAAGAAAGTGTATTCCCCTCGTTCTCAAGTAGTAATAAGATAAAGTCACGAGAGGCAATAAGTCAATAACGAAACTACCTGATCCAGATCTTTAGCTACAACTGTGTTCCCTAAGGCCGCAAAGAAAGCTAGTTTCATCCGCTCATCCTGCACCTTGATCAAATCAAATAGGCGCGGGACATTTTCTGGAGTCACGACTTTTTCCTTAAGTCGAGGCAGATGACTGGATTGTTTCTCCTGAAAAAATTGAGACAACCTGGTAAAACAACTGCTCTTCTACAAACAAAAGCCCAATCTACCCAATCAAATGTACACCAAGAAACAATTTGACACTAAATTTTTTTATAAAGCTAGAAGGTGAACAAGTTATCTACCAGAATCATGAAAGTAGCAACACCAAGGTCTTGGCTGCGGAGTAACTCAACGCAAGCTTGTGCGGCAGCAGTGTTTTCGACAACAATGTAATCAAGTCCAGGACATGCAGTCGATACGGCTACATCATATTTTGCTGCCAAAAAGAATGAATGATTAAAATAAATTAACATATTGGATAAAACTACTGAACAATACACCATAATTATTGTAAAACCACTTATCAATAACATCTTCACCACTATCCAAATCACTAAGATAAAAGAAAGAAATAGTTACATTTCTGAATATGAATGCATTTGTGGGTCATGTAGGCTAACCACTGTTGAGCCAAAGAAATTCGTCAAAGTATTCATATAAATGTACCACATAATAAAGGATATATATAGATACACACACGCACATATATATACACACATATATAAGTAGAGCATTGTAGGAGTTTAAAAGACCAATGAAAGGTGGCCGAGAGACAATAATGGACTGGGAAAGGTCTATTTTGAAATAATATGCGCTCACCGTCAATAGCTCCCAAATCCCCCATTCGGCCATATATTCCTGGTATAATGTTTGCTTCTTTAGCATGGAGTATCGCTTTTAAGACAGATCCCTGATTCTTCTCAGATTCCATAACTGATGAAAGCTCCACAACCTTTTGTCTTGCAGCCTGTTCCAGAGGTATCAACCTCTCTTGTTCCTCAAGACATGCCTACATTATTCCAAACCCTAAAACTTTATACTGAAAATGCAAGAAAAGCATGACGAACACATATATAGCTGCTGCTTACTTTCTCCAATTTACGGGCTTCGGATGCTTCAAGTCTGAGTTTCTCAATTTCATTCTGAATCTCTTGCAAACTGGAAGTCTTTGTCTCAATTTTTCTGTTAATGTCACCAATCTGCTTTTGTGCATCTTCATAAGCCGTGCGGCCTGCCTCATGCTGGTTATAGATGTTAACATTCAGTGCAAATTTTTAAAGAAATCAAGCTACCAAAGGTCTGAAGAAGATGGAATTTCTTTCCAAATATAATATTGAGACAGATTGCCTAAAAGTTCAAACATCTGCGTTTAATGAAAAATGGACCTCTTTTCCACCAAATGATTCAATTTTAAAAGGTAAAATAGCACTCAAAGTAGGCCCATACATCAACTAAGTTTTAATCTGGCAACACTTTTTATTTCTTCTTTAAACAATTAAACAGTATTTAGGGAAACAGAAGGCAACAGAGTGTATTTAAAAAAACATTCACCACAAACCGTGACATAATTTTCATACAATATTGAGCTTATCATTATTATTTTGAAGAATTAACCAGGGGAGACGATTAGAATGAAACGCAGAAAATACTATCTTGCCTAATTACCTTGCAAAGAGTCTAACCGAACAGGATAATGTGAAGCAGGATATAACAAAAAGAATGACTGGCTCAATAAAGACAGGCAAGAAAAGGATACGAGCAAACAAAGAAAATAAGTAAAATCATGCATCAGTATTCAGTAGTTTTAGCATACCAAGTGTTATAATGTAGTACCACCTTACCTTCTCGATAAAAAGTTTTCTTTCAGCTGAAGCAACATCAAACTTTCCTCTGTGTTCAATCAATTGTTTTTCCCAGGGTTCTAGTTCAGTACGAACCTCAGAAAGTTTAGAACGAAAAACTTCCGTTTCAGCTGTATAAAAATATATTAAGTAGGATAGTTACAAACAACTTAATAACAAGTGATGCGAAAAGCAACCAAGATGAGCATCTGAATAACTTGCACAACCGTATCATCATAATACATGTAACTGACAGGCACCCAAAAAAAAAAAAAAAAAAAAAAAAAAAAAAACTCACCGAGAAACACCTGTTAACATAACTATGCTATTCTATCATTACTTAAGGTCAATCAGGCCCTATTACCTTAAACGGAAGCAAAATTGTATGTCTCGTCTATGAAAGAATAATTCATATCACTTATAGCCTATCGTTTAAAGATCATTGATTTTGGATTGCACAGTAAAGCCTCCAAGAGAACTACAACAGACCCGTCTGCTAGATATTCGATGTAAAACACAAAAAGGCTGAAATTATTAAAATGTAACATTAGCTTGGTGGATCTAGGTGTCAAAATATAACCAGAAACAAAAGAAAATATTTCAAAAAGTTGTCAGGAAAAACGTGCTGAAAGAAAATCAAATCCTGTTCAATGACTAAGTGTGTATTCTATGAACCCAGGTTTATGGGTGTGACTGTATGCACAAACGGAGAGAGCAAGAGCAAATGTAAAGAATTGGAATGACAGCAAGCTACCTTTCGCATTTTCCTTGATTTCTTCCAGAATCTTTTCCTCATCCACTAGAAGTTTCTGTAGCTTAGGAGTATCACCTTCAAGCTGAGGAATCAAATTTGTAGACTCCTCACACTCTTTTGTGAGGTCATCTATTTTATTTGAATCCTGAAATTATGAGAAAGAAAGAATCATATTAAAACCAGAATGTAAGAATCAAATCACTTAAAAAAAAACTCGCTTAATGCAGGGTAACATTCCTCGCACCTTTTCAAGCTTATCATCGAGCTTTTTTATCTTTTGCTTCAAATGCTTGAAGTCTTCCCTGTGCTTCAAATCCTGCCTTTCGAATTCCTTAAACTCATCTTTGCATCGTCTCAGATCACTATCAAGTTCCTAAAATTTTCAATGACCAACAATATTAATTGATATAATTTTTTTTTTAAAAAAAAATACCATTTCAAAGTTATTGAAAAAGCAGACACAATGATGTATGTAGAGATTTAAAATACTACTTGTATAGAAAAATAGGGTGAAACCTCTTGTATCTTCATGTACTTCACATGCAACGCTTCAAGTTCTTTCAAAGTCTTGGTATTTTCATGAATTTTCTCCCTGAAAAAACCAACCAATAATTTTCAGCACCAATCTGATTGTCTATCCAAGAAATACATTAGTTTGAAAATGACCACCTTTCAGTCTTCACATTTGCTTCTAAGTTTGAAACAGTTGCTTGCAGTTCTGCTATTTCAGTAACGGTGCTTTCAGAAGCTAGCTTAGTAGCTTTTTCTTGCCATTTTAACAGTGATAATTCTTTAAGCATGTAATCTTCTGCTTCATTCTTGACACCCTAGGAAAATGAGCAATATACCATTAAAATCCTGAAACACATATGAAAATCCACAAGATTTACACTTTTACAAGCTCTATAAAATCATACCTCTAGGCTCTCTCTTTCTTTTTCAGCTAATTTGACCATTTGAACTACACCAGACCTCTTTTCATTGAGCAATTCCAACCTAAAATTTCAAAAGGCATTGCAGAACGTTTGGACTATAGGTGAGGCTTTTTAGAGTATATGAACCAGAACAAACGAATTAATATATGCAGTATATTTAAGGTAAAAGACGGATCACGGATAAATACTATGGCAAACAATTAATTACATCCAAATATCATGTCTTTCGTATCGAACAAATAAAATAAATCTACTTCAATCCTGAGAAAGATCCAAGAGTTGCTAGTTCAGATATTGTATAACTACATCAATTCAAAAATTGGTTGATTCTAAAAGATCATTTGCCAAAATGCAATGTTCTTCTCACGCAGTTGAATTTAAATACTTACTGCTTGAAAGATTCATCAATCTTCTCAACATATTTGTTAGTTCCAATTATATCCTCAAGATACTCGAGAAAACCTTCATCATGTGGCCCCTGTGCCTTCGGCTTCATCAATGATATTTGCTCTACTTCACCCTGAAGAACCAAAAAAAAATGTTAGCATTGGAAACACATACATAACAACTCAGATTACCATATATTCCAAACCATTAATTCCAATTGCGTGACCTGAAGAATCAAAAAACGGTTGTTATCCAAGTCGACACCTTTCCCCCTCAACAACTTGGTCACTTCTGTAAAATTACTAGCTCTGTTGTCGATATAGTACTTGGAGGAGTTATCCCGGAATGCCACCCGAGTAACCACAAAATCACTTCCGGGGACAACTTCATAAGCCCCATCATCCTATAGGCAGCAGACAATTTAGCAATTAGGAATAAAACACAACCACAAACAACTCCCTCACGAGGAAGGCCCTTACATAACTAAGCTGTACAGATAAGGTCGCCATACCAAATCCATTATCTCCTGAAAGTGAACTGATACACCAGCGCTGTCCAAATTCTGATGATTGGTGGAGTTGTGGATAAGCTCCGAAACTTTGTTTAGCCTCATCTAGAAGTTTGATAAACCCACACAAAGTTATGAAGCCGACAGAGCAAAACGGTAGCCTCACATCAAAGTAAAAATTATGAAGAAAGAACAGCATCAAGATACAATTGAAGGGAGAAAAATAAATACAACCAAACTAAAAAGGTTTCGCTCCAAACACTGTAAGCGCAAGAGAATTTCAAAAATTAAACATCTAACATACAGCAAGAATAAACAAAAAAAAAAAAAAAAAAAA